CCTTAAGTGTGAAAGTTCTTTTATAATTGGTCACTTCCTGACCAATGAAACCTCGGCCAGAGAAGTTGGCTTCGGATTCAGGTCCCCCAATAACCTGTGACAAAGTTGGATGAAAACAGCCAAAAGCCTTAAATGAGGAAGTTCATTTCTGATTGGTCACTTCCCGACCAATGAAACCTCGACCAGAGAAGTAGGCTTCGGATTCAGGGCCACCAATAACCTGTGGCAAAGTGCCGTCAAAAGAGTGAAAACTATCGATGTGAAGTCACCACGAGGACCAATAGAAATGCAGCTAAAAACAACCAAGCAGTCAACCTCCATACTTTCCCATACACCATCCATAATTTCCCATCATGGATCCAATTTCTCAACACAGATAAAAAACAATGAAAAAAAAATATTCCCGCAAAGCGAACGAACCAGTTCACTTAGCAAGCGCCCAGATACAACCGACCGCAACCCAGAAAACTCAGTTTCGCCACCGGAAAACGAAGGATGAGCAAGAAAATCACCGAATACTGCAAAATCTCGCTAAGCCAAGTGGTATTGGACCCCGTTCCGCTTCCCCTTCGTTTTCCGGGATCTGAATGTCACATCGATCGATGCAGTTTGACCAGGGCTATCCAGTGCACTTGTAGTTCTCCCCCGGAAAACGAACGATGCAGGAGAATATGCCCCGATACTGCAAAATCTCGCTAAGGGAAGTAGTGTTAGCCCCCGTTCAGGTCCCATTTCGTTTTCCGGGAGGTCAATTTCATATCAATCGGTGCAGCTTGACCAGCGCGATCCACTGCACCGCTAGTTCTCTCCCGGTAAACGAACGATGAGGAAAAAATGCCCTAATCCTGTAAAATCTCGCTAAGGGAAGTGGTTTTAGCACCCGTTGCGGTCCTCTTTCGTTTTCCGGCGGCTGAATGGCACATCGATCGACGCAGCTTGACCAGAGCTATTGATTCGAACCATAGTTCTCTCCCGGAAAACGAATGATGAGGGAAAAAATGCCCCAATAGTAGAAAATCTCGCGAAGGCAAGAGGTTTTAGGGCGCCAGGGTCTCCGGCGTCGTTTTCCGGGGGCTCAATTTCGTTTCAACCGATGCACAGTGAGCAGGACTATCCGCCGCACTCGTAGTTCTCACCCGGAAAACGAAGGAAAAAAGAATAAGTGCCCAAAAGCTGTTAAATTTTCCTGCTGTAGGTGATCCCACCCCCTCTATCAGTGTCCCCTCATTTTCGCGTAGCTGAAATACACATCAGTCGATGCGTCTTAGGCATGGCTAGCCATTGCATCTCTTGTTCTCGTTCGGAAAACCAAGGAACGTGGAGAAAACCCCTGAAAAATGCAAAATCGTGCTGATCCGACCAATAAAGCAGCATTTGCGAGTCGCATATCGTTTCCGGGAGAGAATAAGCGTTCGCAGTGTGTAGTCCTGGTTGAGAGGCGTCGAGCAATGTCTAACTGAGCCGCTGGAAAACGAAGGGACACACCCAGAGGGGTTTGGATCTCTGGAGACAGCAAGATTTCACGGTTTTTTCGCGTTTTCTCCATCATCATTCGTTTCCCTGGAGACAACCACGGGTGCAGTGGATAGCGCTGGCCAACCTGCATCGATTGATGTGAAATTCATCCCGCGGAAAGCGAAACGGGACCGGAACGGTGGCTTACACCAGTTCCCTTAGAGAGATTTTACAGTATTGGAGCATTTTCTCCGTCATGGTTAGTTTTCCGGAAGAGAACTGCAAGTGCATTGGATAGCCCTGGTCAAGCTGTATCGATCGATGTGACATTCAGCCCCCAGAAAACGAAAGGGGAAGGTCAGGGGTGGTTATACCACTTATCGTAGCAAGACTTTGCAGTTTTCGGGCGTTTTCTTCCTCTTCCTTCGTAGACTGGCAGAGAACTAGCACTGTACTGGATTGGTCGTTTGTGTTTCGTTGGAAATGCACGCATGTAGATTAGTACGCACCATCAAGAGGCGCCCACTATCATAAAATTTGATTCGTTGGTTTTGGCGGAACAATGAAATCGCTATCACGATCGAGCTGGCAGGTGGTGTTGTGGTGGCTTCACATCGATGTGAAAACTCTGAAAATAAGGAAATCTCTGATATATGTTTTTTTAACCCCAAACAAGCAAGATAACAAACAAACGCATTTTTTTTATATGACCCTCCTTCCAGTCGAGGGAATAAGACGTAGTACCGGAAAGATATAAAAAAAACATTTCTTTACTTGTAAAAAATATATAGCACTTTACCATGACGACGATTCGTACGAGGAGAATTAATATTATATGGTGATGTACTATGTTGGCTATGGGATGCAGTAAACTTTTGTGGTCGAGCTACAAATATTTAATAGATTATAATCGCAAGAGTCACATCTACAGATTCTTTCATAGTGGATACTCTAAATAATAGTATTCTCTTTCAATCTATATCAAACCGTCTGATTTTTATCTGAAGAAATATATAAGCTTTTACTAACCACTGAAAAACATTTTAACCACATCGTCATTATGCACGTTTCAATTCGAATCGAAAACAGACAATATACTCACATCGTGTTGGAGATGAACGAATAGGTTCGAATAAGTTGGCTACTTGACTAGATGGTTGATGAATACCAAACGTTCATGGTGAGTTGTATGCTGATGGTGAATTGAAGGTTGATGTTAAGTTGAATGTTGATGTTGAGATACTTGTGAATGTTGAGACGAGGAATTTGATGTTCTAACAATACTTTGAGATTCATTTCTTCTGTTAGTCGGAGTCATATACATTTTCCTTAAAAATTCAATGATCAGAAAATTAAAAAAGCATATAACAACTTACCGTAAATACAATGATATGAAGTAGATGGAGAAAGAAGAACAATATTCAAGTATCTACAAGAGAAAGACAATAGTAAACAAATGAAGACATTTCTTCTTTCAATCATGTTCAACTTCATTGTCAATAGGTGCACAGACGATAAAACGGTCGTCATGAAAAGGAAGGAAAAAGCGTTTCGAACGAAGTGCTGTACAAGGAAAAATGAAGAAATTATTGATAGGTTTATCAACAAGAAAATAGAAGCTATCGACACGTTCAGACCAAACAGGTACATGTTTATCCACCTGGATTGCGGATGAAAAGTTATACGTCAAACAGCAAGGATGAGAAGAAAGAAAAAAAACAGATCACCTCGGTATGAAAAGAAAAAGACAATTTCACCAAAACTTTTTTTTGGGGACAATCACAATTTGTGACACAGACGCTGAAATTAGATGACTTTTTTCGAAAAGAGTACAACAGTGAATGGTATACGATTAGTGATATTTTAAATCGAGAACGAAAAATAATTCACTCGTTCGGTGAACAAGGAAACTTACACAGAAATGAATGCTGAAATCGTTGTTTATATTTTGTAATAACAGATTCATTTATAAGGTGCGCGTAATTCAAAATTAGAGCACTTCTTATTTTTTGCTTAAATATATATCAATATATTCGGTGTTTCAAGCTGATCACGAATATCTACTTACTTTTTCGATTCGAGAAAATCTTCATGGAGAAAGCGGCAAAAAACTGAGAGGGTGTAAAAATCAGCAAAAAAATTGCTTTTTGGGAAACCACGTTTATTTTTTTACTGTTCAACTTTCACTTCTCACCGATTTGATTTTCTAAATTCCTCGTAGAAAAATGAGTCTAGATATGTTATTTAGCGCTTTATCAGATGTTGCATATTCAATTTGAAAAGACGAGCTTTCAACATGACTCTGGTTTGTACTTGTTCATTTTGTAAATCTATCTAGCTTTTTTCTTTGAGAGATAGAGCTTTTATTCGTACACCATTCGAAGCGCCATTCGACGAGCTACAAAAATGTGGCTCGCTTGTTTTAATATCATTTTCCTATGTTTAGAAAAGGTGTCTACAATGGTAGCATGAGAAAAATCGATCTAGTGATTTTTCAATAAAAAAAATTTTCTCATTCAAAACACGTAGGAATACGGTTGAATAGGTAAAAACGATTTAGAATACAATGAAAATGGTTTCAGTGCTTCTGGAGTGTAGTGAGTCGGCTTTTGAAACTTCATCGAAAAAATTGCGAAGCGAAAGTAAGAATTTTCAGACTTTCATTTTACAATATGTGAAATGAATTGTTGCCTGGCGCCATCAGGCGTGCTTGCTAACGGGTGGGTGATCTGTGTATCGATAGACGCCGTTTTACGTAACATAGATGGAAAGTATTTTTCGAATTATGATCAAAGTGCTATTGAAACTTATCTAATTGTCAAATCATTTACTCAAGCAATTCATAATGCCAAAACTGGCTAGATAATAAAGTCATACACGCCAATTGAATTATAGAAGATCCATAGAAAGTATTAAATCGAATGATACTGAAACATTTTCAAGTGAAGACGAAAAAATCCTATTTCATCCAGGTGGGGATATTGATGATATAAATTTTTCGAATGGATCTGTATTAAATGATATCAGTGATCTTCTCACGTTTTGTAAAGAAAAAATTAACCCTCGTTTCATCAGCGTACTTATATATATATGTCTTCACGGCATCTTGGTCATGCATGGAGAGACGTCGACTCTTTTTTAACATCAATTGGTAGTACTACTATAAAACGTGTCACAAATGGACCAATATTTTAGTGAACAAAGATTTTGATGAATTCACAATTGATGAGGGAGGTGGGAAAAGAGGTGATTCCTTTTGGGATTGTTATCCAGATTTAGAACTAGAAGCAAAGCAATTTTGTTTATCAAGAATGTTCGAAAACAGAAGCAACATTTACCGTCGAAACGTTGGCAAGATTTATTGGCCAACGTTTTTATGAATTAAATAATCTGAAGAAAATCGATCAACAATTAGTAAGAACAGTTGAAAGTTGTAGATTAGACTTACGTCGATTTGGTGTAAAATTCACAGCAAATTCAAGCCGACCTTACTTTCTTGGACATGAACGAGAAGATGTGGTAAAACATCGACAAGAATTTGTCAAATACTTTATTGAGCGTGAACAACACTTTTATACAATTACAAATGATGCTGTGCCACAGTAGAGAATACCAACAACAGCACCAACAATTTTGCATTGTAAGTGCTTCTTTGTT